TTATGGCTTTCTTGAGCCCTGTCTGAATTTTAGGATGCATAGTGGATTAGATAAATTATCTAGTGGGCAAGTGACAAGTTCCATGTTCCTGTTCATGCAAGGTATTTTACTCAGGGCAAAATTTGTCTCAAAGGTGTAAGATTTTAAATTATTTCTTTTCCAAAATTCTCCTTAGTTTCTATTTTGTTGGTTATAGCCTAATTACATTGTTTTCAAGGGGAAATTATGCCCCTTTTGATACAAAGTCATGTGTTAAGGAAAAGCAGTCTTTGGGGAGAAAGAAGCAAACTAGTAAACAAAAAAATGAGACATTGTAATAGCAAATGTATTTTGAATTAGAGCATTGGAAAGAAAATAACAATCATTTTCATAAATAAGACACCAAGTTCAAAGATTTATGTTCAACAGTCTATTTTCAGCCATCTTGCTAATGAACTGGGCAGCCACCATTAACAATTTGTGATATGATCCTTGGGTCAAGATATCAGAAATACCACAGGCCTTCTGAAAGGTTGTCCCTTAATCTACATTTTGCTCAAGATCCCTTTCCAGTTCTAAGATCATCCAGTTTTATGAAAAAGAAAAAAAGCAGGGAAAATTTGACCCTCTAGAGAATAGGAGTTATCATTTTACATTTCGCAGCACCAAGGAAGAAGTTTCAACGTCTTTTGTTTTAATTCATTTCAACATATTGAATACTTATTCAAATAGCAAGTTTACATAAGAAGAATGACGAAAGCATTTGGAAAAGACTAGCTTCGTTTATTTGAGACAACTTTGTGTCTGTACAAGAAAACAGATTGAAAGAATTCTCCAGATTATTTAGATAAACCTCAAAGTTGAGTAAGACTATGAGAAGGCAATGGTGTAGAAATTCTTCTGAGTTTTAAGCTAGTCTACAGTCCATAAAGCCCTGAGAAGTTTAACTATAGTCATTCTATTTCCACATAAAGTCATTTCAACAAAGCAACATCAATAATCTTAACATTGTGCTTCCTAGAACTCTCCAAAGAGTCCACTGAAATTCTCTTGGAAGGGATTGTTTTTAAAGTCCTCACCCATGAGAGGATCCAGGCAAGTCCACACCCCTCTGCCATTGACACATAGCTTTGCGCATTGTCATTCAGGGCAAAGCGTGGTTCGTCTTTCATCAAAAAGACGGAATGAGTTTGGACTCGTACCTAAGCTTTCCACCTATTCCAGCAAGCTGAGTGCTTCCTTTCACTCCATATTTGTTTAATTGGCTCAACTGGAACCGATCTTAGGATTTGGACAAATATGAATGTTTGTTTTTGAAAGGGGTTGAGTCCAGACTAATAGAACTGAAACTTCTTCATGCTGGGTAGCAACTGACCCTTCTTCCCACTGGGAGATGAAAGAGATGCAGTTACTCCTTGGGCTTTACCGGCATAAAAAGCGAAGTAGAGGGCTTTCCCTGGTGGCGCAGTGGTTGAGAGTCCGCCTGCCGATGAAGGGGACGCGGGGTCGTGCCCCGGTCCAGGAGGGTCCCACTTGCCGCAGAGCGGCTGGGTCCGTGGGCCATGGCCGCTGAGCCTGCGCGTCTGGAGCCTGTGCTCCGCAATGGGAGAGGCCACAACAGTGAGAGGCCCGCGTACCGCAAAAAAATTGTGAAGGAGAAAATGGTGGCATTTCTGCCTCCATTATCCAGTATTTCTGGTGGAGCTTATGTTGCAGCAAAAAATAGAAATGAAGTTTTCCCTCTCCTGAGAACAAGGAAAATAAAGGGACCAGTGAACAGGCTAGAGAAGAAACATAAACTGGCCTGAGTTAATCAATCCTAGTTTTAACTGTTACTAATCTGTAGCGTCTGTAGTTAGATTTGTCCTTCACAAAGCTAACCTGTCACCTCTAATCCTGTGTAATTTAGGCAATTTACATTCTGCCCCTGGTATTTGCTCCCCCTGTAATCTCTTGTAGCAAATCACCCCTTGTAGCTGTTTGCATTTCAGAAAGGAGGTCGCAGACTGTTAACCCAGAGACTACGGGACCCAACTACTGGGTTGCCCGACTCCAGCAGTGACTGTTTTGAAATAATGCAAGAAGAAGACTGCTAGACGTTCACCATTTTGATCCTTATCACTCACTTCGGACTGAAAACTTCCCTGTAAGAATCCCTGTAATTCCTCAGGAAAGGGGGGCACAGTTCTTGAGGTGCTAGCCTACTGTGTCTTCCCTTTGCCTGGCAAGGAAAATAAAAAGCCTCTCTATTTCTTATCCTCCAAATCTCTGTCTCCATATTTCTATTCGGCATCAGTGCACAGGGAGCCAGAATTTGTTGGCAACATTTAGAGCTAAAATGTCTTCATTCTCCTCAGGTCTGTATGCCAAAGTTAACAGCAGGTCGAATCCCTTTGGCCTAAGGATTTTGTTTCCTCTGCTAGTTCCAAACCCTTTTTGGCCTCAAACGTGAGTCAGGCTGGCCTCAACTTCTCAACGGAGTTATAATCCATCACTTTCTGCACATTACATGGTTGACATCAGTAGTTTCACAAACATTGCTTCAGTTGACTCTCATCATGAACTCTGGGGTTGAGAAGATAGATATTGTTAAGTCTGATTTTGTCTTAGGATACTGAGTACATACTTCCACTTTTGACACCTTGTTTTGAAAATGTGGCTGAACCCTCCCAACGGTGACAGACGCTCAGTGGAAACGTGGAGGATTCAGTCAAACTGGTTATTTGTCCCTGGGCGTGTGTCACTGTCCAGGGTTTCTTCACTTCCACGGGCTTCCTGTCTCTCATGTCTCTGGTTTCTAACTGCAATCGTATCTCATTCTTCATTTTGTCACATGCAAAAGTTCAGAAGTTCTTCACCACTAAGAGTCCTCAGGAATAAGGGAAGCTCACATAACTAGGTAAGATCAAAATTTATCACAATCGGGAGACAGGTTGGGAGCGGTAGCCAGGTGTAAGGGCTCTGTGCTGAGGCTGCCTTTGTTCCTGTCCTAGTTCTGTCACCTCTCTGTTCTGTAACCTTGGGCAGATCTTTCATCTTTCTAAGCCATTGTTAATTTCATTGACAAAAACGAGAATGATAACAGTAGCTGCTTTATGGCATTTCTCTGAGGTTTAAATAACACAATGTGAAGCATTTAGAATAGTGTCTGACACAAGCTAAGCCCTAAATAGTTATTAGTTTCTAAATGTTTTTAATTATATAACATTTACAAAAGTAAAATCGTCTTCATCCAGATAGCAAATTTATCGAAAGCTATTTAACTTCAAAAGTAAATTCTGAATTTCTAGAAGTCTGTCATTAATTTGTTACAGTAAAGCCTCTCTGATGTTATTCTCTTGTTCGTTCTTAGATTTTAAAAAAATAGTGAAAGCTCACACTGGGCTTAGTGCTTTCTGTGTCACTTAATCCTCCCTACAGCCCTATAAGGTAAGTTACATTATTATCCTAATGCTACCAGTGAGAAAACCAGGAGACAAAGCTACTGAATAACTTACCCAAGGTCAGAAATCTTGTTCATGGTGAGGCTGGACTTCGAACTCAGGCCATTGGACTGCAACTCCCCTATGATGAGTAATCTGCCTGGCGATTATGGTCAGGCTGGTTTGAGGAGACATGCTTTTAAGCCATGCCAAGGAAGAGACACTGCACATTTAAATGTGCCAAATTTGCCTTTGGGTGTCCACAAGAAAAATAATCACATCACTTAAAACTGATCATAAGCCTGTCTGAAGCTTCCTTGTTCATGGCTCTTGTTTTTTTGGTGGGTTGCTGGATGAGACTAGAGGATAACTCCACTTTTAGCTTTGCCATGGTATGGAAACTTGTCCTCTGAATCTTCATGTGTTCTGACAACTCACAGGTGAGCAAAGATTTAAATTAATTGAAAAGCTTGGATTAAAATAAAACAAAAAAGAAGGCTTCGTACTAGATTGAATTCATTTCATTTCTGGAAGTGGACTATGTCAGGGCAATTTCTATGTGAAAAAAATAGATGAATAGTGCTCGGAGTTAGCTCACTGTATTTACTCCCTTCCACGCTGTCTCAGCTTTCTCTATTTTAATTTCGTGAATCTACTTTGACATATGACATTAATCTGCGGTTATTAAATGTTTTACACCAGGCATTCACGTGATGTGGCTGTTTCTAACAACAACCTATTTGATTTGTGGAACTTTAAATGCTGGCGGATTCTTTAATTTGGAGAAAGAAGCAAATCCTGAAGTGTGGATGAATATTGTAAGTGATGGAAAATTCCCAAAACCATCAAATAAAGCAGATTAATTGATTGTGAGATATTAAAGCTCCTGTATGGCAGAAAAATCTCTGATAAGAAAACATAAAACATGGGTGATTTTTAACAGTTGTCCAAGAGTTAAGCTAGGTAGATCTTCTTTTTTGGCTGAATAAGTAATACTTTCTAGCAATATAAAGCAGAATTATATTTTTTATAGATAACTTCCTCTTCTGAATTTACATTTTTAAGAATATTAAGAATTTCTATTTTAAGCCCTCTGGATGATATATAGGACTGCCCTCTACTGGACTATGGTTTTATTATCTTTAAACCAAGAGGGGTCTCAAAAGACAATTGACACATATATATGTCTAACTTAATAACTTTGTCCTATACCTGAAACGAACACAACATTGTTAATCAACTATACTCCAGTATAAAACAAAAAGTTTTAAAAAAAGTGGTATAGGGCTTCCCTGGTGGCACAGTGGTTGAGAGTCCGCCTGCCAATGCAGGGGATGCGGGTTCGTGCCCCGGTCTGGGAGGATCCCACATGCCGCGGAGCGGCTGGGCCCGTGAGCCATGGCCGCTGAGCCTGCGCGTCCGGAGCCTGTGCTCCGCGGCGGGAGAGGCCACAACAGTGAGAGGCCCACATACCGCAAAACAAACAAACAAACAAACAAAAAGTGGTATATACACACACACACACACACACACACACACACACACACACACACAATGGAATTTTACTCAGCCATAAAAAAGAATAAAATAATGCCATTTGCAGCTACATTGATGGACATAGAGATTATCATACTAAGTGAAGTAAGTCAGAAAGAGAAGGACAAATACCATATGATGTCACTTATATGTGGAATCTAAAATATGACACAAATGAACTTATCTACAAAACAGAAACAAACTCACAGACGTAGAGAACAGACTTGTGGTTGCTGGGGGGTGGGGCAGGGGAGGGTTTGGGACTAGCAGATGCAAACTATTACATATAGAATGGATAAACAACAAGATTCTATTGTCTAGCGCAGGGAACTATATTCAATATCCTGTAATAAACCATAATGGAAAGAATATGAAAAGGAATATATATAATACATATATGTGTGTGTATATATATATATAAAACTGAATTACTTTGCTATACACCAGAAACTAACACAACTTTGTAAATCAACTATACTTCAATCAAATATATATATGTATACTTTAAAAAAAAAGACAAATTACTTGAGAATATAGTTTTGTCAGAAGAGTGGGTCAATGCTAGATATTATCTCCAACCCCCGCAAAAATTTACACTAGCAGACATTTTCTAACAGTCTACTTATTTTTCTATCAAGACTCTATGCAGTAAATTAATTTTACAGTTACCTGGGGCTACAGATTTCAGACAATTTGCCCCAAAAAGCACACAGTAGTTGCTTTTTTCTAGTTCCTTTCGATAACCTTTAGAGAAGATGTTTAGCTAACGCTCATGTTTTTACTGGGCAGAGTGAAATCATCACCTACAATGGCTACCCCAGTGAGGAGTACGAAGTCACCACTCAAGATGGGTACATACTCAGTGTCAACAGAATCCCCCATGGACGAAGAGACAATAGGAGCACAGGTGGAAGAGGTGTCTCTCCTGAGAAGGAGAATTGCATTTGACTAAAGTTTATTGCTGGCTGTTCATTAAGACAATGACTGATTTATCAAAATTGGTTTGAATTTTGGATTAGTCTTTACATTGTTAACAGGGAGTCTCATTCTTTTCCAATTCTCTGAAGACAGGCAAGAACCTACAATTACAAAGAGCAAGATCTTCTTGACTGCCACCAGGCTTTCTTCTTAGGGAGTAAATGCAGAGGTGGAGCCTACATTTTGTTAGCTCATTACTGATTTCTCATGTGGAAAATTGCTGTATTCCGAATAGTGGATTTCCTCACTGTTGGAAAGAGATTGGCTGGGTTGTATGAAGCTGGCTGCAAGGTATCCCAAAAGAGTCTCTCCTGCCCCCTCTAGAATCAACAGGCCTCCCTCTGCAGGATAAAAAAAACCCAATTAAATGACAGTGGCATTTCTGAAACTTTTTCAAGGAAGGAAAACTTTAACATTCATGTATGCTTTGACCTGACGAACAGACAGTTTATGCAATGAAAGAGCATGGGGTTACTAAGGCTCCATTCTAGAATGAGGAACGAGCCATGCAAAAGCAGATGAATTACACTCTTTAAAAGGGGAAATATAGGGCTTCCCTGGTGGCGCAGTGGTTGAGAGTCTGCCTGCCGATGCAGGGGACGCGGGTTCGTGCCCCGGTCCGGGAGGATCCTGCGTGCCGCCGAGCGGCTGGGCCCGTGAGCCACGGCTGCTGAGTCTGCATGTCCGGAGCCTGTGCTCCGCGGCGGGAGAGGCCACAGCAGTGAGAGGCCTGCGTACCGCAAAAAAAAAAAAAAAAAAAAAATGGGGGGGGTGGAATATAACTGCAAAGTCCCTGAGGAGGGAGAGAGAAGAGCAAGCAAAATATCTGCAAAGGCCCAGTGGCCTTTACCTACCAAATCATTTACCATGAGATGATTCATGGTAAATGAGACCATTTACCATGAATCATCTCATCTCCCCCCATGAATCATCTCATCTCCCATCCACATTCAGAGGCAGCTAAAGTCATGTAGTTCAAGAATTCAAGAGTTTCACAATAAAAACTGCAAGTGGGACATGGGTAGGATTACTATCTAAAATATGAGATGCCCAGTTAAAGTTGAATTTCTGATAAACAGCAGATGAGTTTTTCGTGTAAATCTCACTTTATGATGTACTTATATGACAAAGTTATTCATTCTTAATCTGAAATTCAAATTTAACAGGGCATCCTGGGTTGTTTTGTTTATCTTTGTTTTGGTTTTTGCTAAATCTTGCAATATTAGGCATGGCGAGGGGTGGGGTAGGGAGGTGCTATGAAACATAAAAGGAGAAAACTTTTACAAGAAAGGCTTTACTTAAGGAGGGAGAATTTGGGGAAGATTTGGAGTTAAAAGACATTTATCAGGTGTATCTTTCTAAATGCTTTAAATGAATTAAATGAATTAAACCTCCCAGAAACCCTATGAAGTTGGCACTATTAAGAGTTACCATTTTACAGATCATGAAACTGAGGTAAAACAGGTTATGTAATAGGCTCCAAGTCACACAAATGGCAAAGGACAGAACCAGAATTCAAACCCAGGAAGCCGGACTCCAGAGCCTGTGCTCTTAACTACTAAGTTATAGAATCTTCCATCCTGGTTCTTTTCCTCAGAAGCTTGAGAGTTCACAAGAGGGCGTTGAGCTGATTTTACTGCTATAGTTTTCAAATACTCTTCAGGGGGCAGAGGCTGGGGGTTTGACTGGAAGTTTGGTGAGGAAATAGTCATTGTACATTTATGCTCACCTCCCCTTCCTCCTGGAGGAGGCATAAGACTCCATCAAACATGAGCATCTTCATGTCTCTGTAATTCAAACCCAGGAGATACATGTAAAAGTGAATACATAGTGCAGAGCAGTTACAAGCACACGCTTTGGCACGAAACAGAACCAGGCTTGAGTCCTACCCATGTACCTTATTAGCTGAATGACCCCTTAGGAAAGTTACTTAACTACCTTAAGTCTCCACATGTATAAAATGAGGATACTCAAAGTCAGACCTACTTTATAGAGTCATTGTAAGAATTTAATAAGCTCATGCATGTCAACCAATCAGCGTAACACCAGGTACAAAGTATGTGCTCAAAAAACTTGTTATGTGATTACAACACTCTACACTAAAGACAAGGGGAAAAGTGAATGCTGGTTTTGGTTTTTGCTTTTCCCAGTGTGTGTGTGTGTGTGTGTGTTTCTATCATGTTCCCGAGATGCTCTATTTATTATAAATTTCTCTCTCTTCCTTCCTCCCTCCTTCCAGGTGCCCAGCCAGTTGTATACTTGCAGCATGCTCTGTTTGCAGACAGTGCCTCCTGGCTTGAGAATTATGCCAATGGCAGCCTTGGATTCCTTCTAGCAGATGCAGGTTACGATGTATGGATGGGAAACAGTCGGGGCAACACTTGGTCAAGGAGACACAAAACACTCTCAGTGAATGAAGAGGAATTCTGGGCCTTTAGGTAAACTATATCTATGAAAGTTCATGAAGGCAATTTGAGAACAAGTCCTTTAAATATAATAGTGTGGGTGGTATTAACAATAATGCATGATACTTGGAGTCACACAGCTCCTCGTAATTTCTATTAACATCTCGAAGGAAATAAACAGCAAGAAGCTCTGATTTCCATTGATTCTCCCACAAGCGAATTATATCATTTCAACAGGGTCATTTTAACATACAATTCTATCCAATACTATACATTGTAAGTATGTCCCAAGGGACAGCTTAGGAAATTCCTGTGACCAAAGTATGCACTCATTCAACCAATGTTTATTGAGTGCCTACTCTATGCACTGTTCTAGGCCCTGAGCATCCAAGAGTGGACAAAGTCTCTGCCCTCGTGAAGCTTATGTTTATCCTAGTGATGCTATTACACGTTTTTTCTCTTGGACAGCCAATCAGTTTTGCAAAGAAGATGTGTATCAGTGCCATATTTTACCTACAGAAACTGTGGTTGAGAATGTATAGAATACCATTTTCAGGAAAACAAAACCTTGTTAACCTTGTTAATAGGCAAAAGAAAAGAATCTTTTGATATGCTGACAGCTTCTTTTAATGAAAGTGTTTTCTGCTGTCACCAAAGGACAGGCTGATGCCAACAGTGGACATCCTTTCTCAGGCTTAAACTCCCTGTTGGTTTAAAGCCTGCTGCTAGAGCAAAACCACATTAATGAAATACTCAGTGCCCACTGACAAGGTGGAAGGAAAGAAAGAATAGATGAAATCATTAGGGTCAGACCTTTTGCCCCAGGGCAAGCATTGGGAAATATTTTGTGCGGTTGGTCTTTGGCTGGGAGCTTGGAGTTTATTTACTATAGGGCATCACAACCATTCTCTTATACTGGTGAGTACCAATCTATATTTCCTCTCATGCTCTTCTAATAAGCAGGCCCTTAGTTCCTGAGGTACTGAATTCTACTATATGTTACTTAGGCCTTTTTTGTTCTCTTGCATTAATGTTGGTTGACTGGTACTATAGGATTTTGGTATATATTGAATATATCTCTATATGGACAGAAATATTAATAATAGTAACATCTGACTGAGTGTCTGATAGCAGCCAGAGTCATTCCTTTAATACTCTCCAACCCCTATAGCAGCCCTGCCGTATAGTATGATCATGTTCATTTCACAGATAAGGAAACTTAAGCTCAGAGCATTTAAGTAACTTATGAAAAGTTACTCAGCTAGTACATGGTAGAATCATGATTTACAACCAGTTCTATTTCCAAAGCCGGGTATTAAGTGGCCCTAAGAGTCTTGAAGTTCCCTGGCGGAGACTGAAGTAGAGGCATGCAAACCAGGTAGGGAAAGGACAGCAAAAGAAATGCAAGAGAAGGGAACGAAAAGGAAGAACGACAAGATTAAACTTCGGATAATGTAGTTTACACAAGTCTCAAAATCATTCCTCTTATTAGAAAGTAACACATATAAGTGCAGCAAAGAAAAGCTACAATAGCCTATATGTAAATGAATAAATAATGAAATACAAACCATGTAAGTGGACAGCACAGAATTCTGTGTGTAAAAAATAAACAAGCAAGTGCTCTGAGTTTTGAACTTAGTTGGGAATATTTATAAGTCCCTGTTTTATTTTTCAGCTTTGATGAAATGGCCAAATATGATCTCCCAGGAATAATAGACTTCATTGTAAACAAAACTGGTCAAGAGAAGTTGTATTTCATTGGACATTCACTTGGAACTACAATAGGTATGTTTACAAGGGTCAACACTTTACAAGGGTCAGAGCCATGCAAAAGTTCACCTTTGAATTGGAACAGAGTAACTGTTTTACATTTACAGTGTCCTTAATTCTCTGTCCTGTGTTGGGCACATAACCCTAGTTCCCTAAGTGGCTGTGAACCTGAATTCCAGAGACTGTGAGTATGTAGGATGAGCCTTTCATCTATTTCCGGTCACCGCAACACATTTGTAATGGTGACGTAATTTCCCAGGAATAATGTGTGCTCAAAATCCAAACAGGTATTTCCAAAGGGTAAGTCTCTAGATCACCTCCAAGCTGCAAAAGTAAAGCCAAATGCCATGAAATATCCTTGAAGAACGTTAACTATGCATCAATCATACCTTCCTCACAACCCACATGGAATTTTAAAAAATAAAAAAGAGAGGCTTATACTCATATTTGAACAAATTGAAAAGATATGGTAACATTTTGTTTGTGAATCAGACCACATAAGCTTACTACAGTAAATCAACTGGGCTTATCCGTTTAGTGTATGCTTTAATATTTATGGAGTAGCAATTAATTGTAAGCACTATATAGATTTTTTTTAAAGTCCAGGAAATGTACTTTGAATGTGTGGTTCCTAGATTTTTTTCTAAGAAATCAATAGTCTAGCTCCACATAAAAATTTAAAGGAACCCATACTATTAAAAATTTAAATTTGTTAGTAATCTTCCACTAAAGTTTCCAGTTTTAAGAGACTGGGTTATATGAAAATGCAGTATTTTAGTTTGGGTGAAACTGTGCAAGAGACAATAAATATTCCTACACTAGCCTCATTATCATCAAGAGCAAATAGGTGTTTACCAGTGCTTTGTACTGATAGGCAGCTTACAAATTTAGACTAGGCAGTGAACATGAGAGCGAATACACTAAAAGAGGATCAAAGAACTAATAAGGGGACCCAACCCCACCCCCCAAAACACTGTCACTAACAGGAAAATAATTACACCATAATAGCTAACACTTAGGAGCCTTTACTATGTTTAGGGTCCTCTGTTCAGGACCTTTCCTACAATCTCTCTGTCTAAGCTTCAGAACAATCCTACCATTATTATTTCCATCTCATAGAAAAGGAAGCAGAAGTTCAAAGAAATTAAGTGGCTCCTTCAAGGTCTCTTAATACATAAGAGGTGGCACATTAATTCAAACCAGGTCACTTTGCCTTCACCGACGGGGTGCTTGGGCGCCGTGGAGAAACTGCAGGGAGAAGGACGACTTGAGTGGCGTCTAGAAAAGTGGAGAGGACTCAGATATGCTCTCATATCTGATTAGCAGAGAAAACGGTAAATTTCATCATCAGGGCCCTGCGTTGCATTTAGGGCATGACATTTTTCAGTGAGCGCTATTTGCCTTTTGAGCAGAGAAATTTTTGTTATGTGGGAAGGACCCACTCTCTATAGGACATTTAACAAGTCAGGTCCTAGCCCCTTAAATAACAGTTGGGCTCCCCAGTCAGTATGACCATCAAAAACTCACCTCCAGGGCTTCCCTGGTGGCGCAGTGGTTGAGAGTCCGCCTGCCGATGCAGGGGACACGGGTTCGTGCCCCGGTCCGCGAAGATCCCACATGCCGCGGAGCGGCTGGGCCCGTGAGCCATGGCCGCTGAGCCTGCGTGTCCGCAGCCTGTGCTCCGCAACGGGAGAGGCCACAACAGTGAGAGGCCCGCGTACCGCAAAAAAAAAAAAAAAAACCAAAAAAAAAAACTCACCTCCACACATTTCTAGACATCTTCTGGGGGAACAATTATGCCTGTTTCAGTCTTTGTATCAATTACTCAGCCAGTTCCTTTTCTGGCTAAGACAGTTTCAATATTTCAACAAGAAGTTCAGAAGAAAAAACCCCCTGCTATGGCTACGTATACACACACACACACACACACACACACACACAGTGGAGGGGGGCCCAGGAAAGTACCTCGGGGATCCCAAACACGGAGATCCTCCACATAGCCTTTCCTGTGTGAGGCTGACCCCCACCCTCATCCTCATAGTGCTAGATATGGATGCAATGCTATTCCTGAACAGTCAGAGCACATGGAGACATATGGTCCTTACTGGGACCATGGTGGACTGAGGGAAAGCCCATTCTCTTTCGGATGCAGGGAAGATTCCAGAGGTTTTGGTAAGCATCCAATGAAGCACTGAGAGCAATGAAATCTCATCAACTGTGAGAAAGAAAAACTGTGGAATAACTGGACGATAGTGCAGAAAGAGCTGATTGATTCACCTCCCCCAAACTGATTATTTCTAGAGGCTCTGTGACTCACTCTGACATCTCAGAGTTGGTGGTAAAGTGACAAAACTGCCAGCACTTACTCCACGCTTGGGAAGTGAAGGTGTCCCCCGTTTACTTGGCAGGAGTTGCTCCAGCAACTTATCCTTCACTTTCCCCAACCCAGTTAAATTGTCCAGAATAAGAGAAAAATGGAGACTGGAGAGCAGAGAGGGCTGAAGGCAGATTAACTGCAGGATAACTTAGAAGAGTTTCCCAATTCATCTCCAAGATGAGTGCAGTAAAAGGATGACAAAGCAGAGTCCCACTTTTGTTAGTAGAAACATTGCCTAAATACTTCTAATTTTTACAAGATTGTCTTGTCTCCTGTTCTCTCAGGGTTTGCAGCCTTTGCCACCATGCCTGAACTGGCACAAAGAATCAAAATGAATTTTGCCTTGAGTCCTGTGATCTCATTCAAATACCCCACGGGCATTTTTACCAGTTTTTTCCTACTTCCAAGTTCCTCAGTCAAGGTAGGCTCTTCCTTGTGCCAAAAAGTATATGAGGATCTCCTTTTGGATGATAGATCCTTATTATTTTAAAATCTATTATGAAACAAAAGGAGCACATTTAGATGAAATCTGTAGAAACCAGACTCTGGGATCATGTGCTTGGAGTGGATGTATCCTTGTGTGTGTTTGTCTATGCCACAATGTCTACAGCTCCCATATGCAATTCACTATACTCAGTTATTAACAGACCTGAGTATAAAGCAGAATTTCTAACTGAGCTGACTGCCGTGTCAGTTTAAGATCTACTCACAAGTTTCCTTGTTCCATTCTTATTCCCCTGGGCATGTCAATGAATTCACAGTGCCCAAATGGAAGACATTTTCCAAGTTACATGGGATCACTGATATCCCTGACTTTGATGTTAGAAAAGCCTGAATAATATAACCCTTCCCATATGGGAGCTTGCTCTAATTTACTAAAGCTAAGATTCCAAAGAGTAAATGTCTTACAGCTGAATTATTCATTCAAGTATTTATTGGTTATTTTCCAATGGTTGGAAAAGTAGTTTGATGGTCAATTGTGAGTTGGGATTTTATTCTTTGAAAGTTTTTTTCTGTTTGCTTTTTGTTTCTCTAAAAAGGCCATTGCCACAATGAACACAGTATTTTATCAAGATTGCCCCTCAAATTTGGGGAGAAGGATAGAATAAATTTTGACCAAAATGAAGTCAAGGAGACCAATTAGGGTATCACAATAATTCATATATATAGTGAGGTCCTGGTCTGAGGTGAAGAGGTAGAAATGGGAAAAAAAGTATTTGTGAGCTAACACAAGGAAGAACTTCCATGAGGCCTAATGATTGGTTTGATAGTAGTTTTTTGGTATTGTTTAGTAAGCTCAAGTGATATAACTTCCCTTTTTTGTCGTTGATAGTTCTATTTTAAAGTGTGCTGACATCAGTTAGTTTTGGATGTTTACTACATTTGGGCAGAGTTGAGCAGACAAATTAGTTGAATTAAATTCAGAGATAGACACATCTATTTCTAAATACACCAGTTTTGCATATGTGTGGCTTTGCCTACATAGGTCGGGTCTGAGGCACATATTGTCCCTGACTTATCTCAGTTTCTTATCCTCTACTGTTAAACTTCCCACCACTTTAAGTCCCATTCTCTGGCCCACCCACCATTTCATAATATCCATTGCCCCTAGAAGCTCCAGTCCTCCCATCAGAGATGCGCACCCAAGCTTGCTTTTCCAAAAGCCCTAGAAGTTTTAACTATGCTGCCTCCCAAGACATCATTTTTTTTTCTGTCCAGTGGCACCCTCCCTTCAGTACTCCATCCTCTACCTTTCAGCATAAAAGCTGGCTACTCTGGAACACTACCAGAAACGTGATGTGTACACGGGTAATAGGGAAAAACCCTTCTTTTCCTTCCTATTCAAGGCAATATTTGACGTTAAGGAGAAACTGCTCTACCTTTCTTGCCATTTAATGAGAAATATAGGCAATCGCTGATTGGACAGAATGTGGGAGAGCTTCACTGTGGAGAAATTAGCTAATTTGAGGTTGAGGGTCCTTACTGCAGTCGCCTTGTAAATTATGTTTGATGATATTAGCTGGGTGGAGACCGATTCATAAATAGTAACTTTTCCTGAATGACTTGGTCTCCTTGACCAAAACAGCAAATAAATATAAAAATATAAGTAGAGCCCCGAGAATTCTCATTCCTGGGATGAAGGGAATGTCAAGAAGTCTGAAAATGGTCCTCAAAAGAATAATTATTTTTTATTTTTACAGAGGATTTTTGGTACCAAAGGTTTCTTTTTAGGAGATAAAACAGGCAAGTCAGCTTCTACCAAAATCTGCAACAATAAAATATTATGGGTGATATGTATTGAATTTATGTCTTTATGGGCCGGATTCAACATGAAAAATGTGAACATGGTATGTATAATGATTCTGGGGCCATTCAACGCTTTTAGAAATTCCAGCTTTTCTTTGATTAATTTTGATGTATCTATTATACTACATAAATTAATGTGGTATTCTAAACTTAAGGGCAGAGATTTGCTATGCATAGAAGATTAGATATTCAATGGACCATGAATGTGAAGACTGAGGAAGACAATAGGCAGCTTCATCTTTTCATACCTGGTCAAATTTAAGAAAATAATTGTTCCACAATAGGTAGTGGTTTCACATGTTCACAATCAGCTACCACTTACTACAGTCAACTTGATTTTATTTCAGTACAACACAGTGCATTAAAAAATAAAATAAAATCGTAGAAAAGAAGTACATACAAGCATTAAATTTATTCCATGTATGCCTTCACTTGTTGGGTGAATTTAACCTCAAATAAAATTCATCATTTAACTTGGAACATACAAGACAGAATGGAATGGAGTGTAATCCCTCTCCTATGAAAGAGCAGAAGTCCTGTTTCATCAACTCCTTGATTCCTGTTGCTGAGAATTCAAGGAGGACGAGGAGTTCAGACTACAGACCCGTGTGGTTGAGTAGTTATCTCTGTCATATGCCAAATGGCAGCCAGTGAGACTGTTACAGTGAAGCTAGTTCCAAAATAGCTTTTCTTGGCCAGCCACCCTACCCCCATTCTTTAAGAGGATAAGTTGTGTTAGACCAAAAACCTTGAGGAACAATGGTTCAAAGCCGCCTTCTTCAAAAGTAAAGATTTTTAATAGTTTCCTTGATTTGTTCCATTATATTCTAAGACATACAATTATCAGTACTATTTTATGTCTACAATTTTCATCTCTATTATATTTATGAAGACTAAAGTACAGTACACATGGAAGTGATTGATTTTTAGCTTTTTTTTTGTAGTATTTTATTTTATCCTTACAAGAGCACAGCAAACTGTAGTATGATTTTTAGCATGTCCATTTAATAGATGAAAATACAGAAACTCAGAGATGATAAATAACTTGCCCAAAGTCACAAAGCTTATCATTAACAAAGTTAGGTCCTGAACTCCAGGATTTTTGATCTATTGATCTGTGATCATCACATCTGTACACACACACACCCAGCTCCCCCACACACACACTTGCACAGAGTACCTTTCTTGGTTGCTTTGCTCCATGATGTCCATTGTTGCTTCTGCTTCAAAATAAGCAAATTATCCTACAGCTTCAGAGCTGATGCAAGTTTGCTCTCAAGCAGCCCATGCCACCAGTCAGCCCATGGTTCACCCACATTCAAGTGCCTGACATGACTTTGTAATTATCTAGATGATTCTTCCTTGCCACTTTCAAAACCGCAATATTTGTTTATTAGTTCTTAGCATAATTATGATCTGCTTCTGAAAGGCATAGTTTTTTCATTGGGTGGTTAATGCTGTAATAAGTGTCCTTTTTTCCTTCAGAGCCGAATGGATGTGTATATGTCCCATGCTCCCACTGGATCGTCAATACAGAACATCCTGCATATAAAACAGGTAGGGTCTTTGTCATGGAAAACTATTCCCTTAATTTTCTTTATATATGAAAGGACAGAGTTAGCATGTCTGTTCTAAGAAACTTAGCAGCTGGCTTCCTTTTTGCCCTTGTCACCATCTTTATGGTTTGATTTCCCTGGATTTTAAGAGAAAGAACAAGGGATGGGGCAGACCAAGTTGGTGACATAAATGAACCCCATCTTAAATCAGAGCTTGTAAAATAGGTCCTGAGCTGAAACAAAAGGTAAACTGGGAGAGCCTCAGAACTGAGCCTTCCCCAGAGAGAGAAATACCTGAGATTTGATTTCCCCTTAATGAGGCTTGGTTTTCCACTAGCTTTTCCTTCAAACCAAGGAGATCATTGCATCACTTTCTGTCGACCTTGTTTTTCATACTGGTAAAATTTATTTATATCTTTCTGCTCATCCCGAAGCCTTATTTTCTTCCCAACGTACAGTGCTTTTCTAAGATTTGCTGTTAACAATCATGATTCTTACTGTGAATATTACTTTTCTATAAAACATTTAATTCAGCTTTACGGATCTGATGAATTCAGAGCTTATGACTGGGGAAGCGAAGCAGAGAACATGCATCATTACAATCAGGTGAGCTATTCAGAGTGACCCCAGGAGGGTGGCTTTGAAAACTTACAATGATAAATTATTTGAGAGTAAAAAGAATCCTAGCTGGCAATAGGTCTCATTCACATTGGTTGATAGAGATTTTTTTTTCAAGTCTAGTTTTAATATGTATTCATTTCAGAAAACCTAGAAATAAAAGAATTATATACTAAGGGAGTTAAGTCATTTATAATCCCTCCACCCAGAGATAACTATAGTAGATGTATCAATATTTTATTACATTTATTCCAATCTCAACATCACTGCTTTTCCACAATTTTCAGTCTTGCTTTTTTATTTACAGTCATAGCAAAACATAACCAATGTTACTGAGGGTTTTTTTTTAACATTATTTTTAATGGCTGCATAATAATGAACATTGCTTTATAAAAATCTATAAAAATTTACAGAGTAAATGAATACACGCTTCTTGATAGCAACAGAAGAAAATTAGGATTACACGTAAAAGTTAAGAGAATTTTCCACCCATGCAGTGTTGAATCTTAAGGCAACTTTTCCCCTCTAACTCTATGCACCAAAATTTATAGACTCATTTAGCCTTCCTATACTTTTAATCAATCCTGTTGCCACCTTCCTTTCTCTAAGTCAGGGGCTGGGCTTCTCAGTATGAACTAAGCACATTTTTCTGATGTTTTCCCAGACTGACATATTTAAGGCTATTAGCGCAAACATAGATTGATGAAATTGTTTCTGAACATCAAATCAGTCCATCAGACCAGTCAATTTCTCAGTAATGGATTGAATTATTAGAGAAATGGTTCTACTAGCCCTTAAGACAAAGAGAGCTATATATAATTTTATTATTATTTTTAATCAGCTTAAGGTGTGACTTACATACGGTAAAATTCACTGATTTTATGTGTCTAACTCAGTGAGTTTTGAAAAATATATTCATTCATGTAGCCACATCACAAGCAAGATATTGAATATTTTCATTACCCGCAAAGGTTTTTTCCTGCTCCTCAATGTATATTTACAAATGCATATATTTGCAAATGCTTAGAAAAAGGCCATAAAATAAATAAACAGCAAATGTTAAAGTGATAACTTTCAAAAAGGGGAAGAAAGGAAGAGTGAAGTGGATGGACATGAAAGAGAAAAGGAGGCTCTCATTTTGGATTTTACATACATTTGTCTTTTTTCATTATTGTAATGAGCATGTTACATATTGTTTACATTTACAAAAAAATAAAACAAAACACACACACACACACACACACACACACACGTAAGACCATTATTGTCAAGTTCAGCTTTATTGAGGTAAAACTGACCAAAAAATATTTAAGATTGAAGTGTACAACATGATGACAAGTATTGAGAGTGTAAATGTCCTCAGAATTTACACACAGTTAGCTAGCTGGTCCTACCCTACTCTGGGCCAATACTGTTTTATTTGTTTGTAATTTTAGATCATTGGAAGTCAATTTTCATTACAATCAGAAGTATCAACAGTTTGTCTTCTCCTTAAGTTCCCAGCACAATCTCTGTGTCCACTCTATGTCTTTTTTAATTATAAGAGGATTGGGGCTTCCCTGGTGGCGTAGTGGTTGAGAGTCCGCCTGCCGATGCAGGGGATATGGGTTCGTGCCCCGGTCCGGGAAGATCCCACATGCCGCGGAGCGGCTGGGCCCGTGAGCCATGGCCGCTGAGCCTGCGCGTCCAGAGCCTGTGCTCCGCAACGTGAGAAAAAAAAAAGAATAAGAGGATTAACCCATGTAAGCCTCATGACAGTAGGAATTTCCTTCTCTTTTGTTCACCAGTATTGTCTCACCTGGCAGAGTATCTGGAACTTACTGGCCCCTTAATACTTATTTGTTGCACGAATGAAATTTGTTAACTTCCCTCTAATCCACCTTAAAATCTCTGTCTTCTTGATTCTCTCCTTCCTTTCACTCTCAGAAAATCAAGGTCCTCTTATTATGCAAGTTATCCTGATCTTGTGCCCTCGACCCCATCTCTTCTCATATCTTCTTACTGGCTTCTCTTATTATCTTAAACGAATCCCTATCCCTTATGAAAAACAAATAAAAAACCTTCCCTCAACCCATCAATTCTATCAAGTCATCCTACCATCACTCTGTTTTTATCAACATTTTTTAATATTTAAAAGAGAAGTGGAGAAGTATCTCCACTTCTCCACTCACTCCTGAACCCTGGAAAATGTAGTTTTGGTCTTCATCTTCTTATTAGAGCTACTCTATTTAAAGTTGCTTGTGGCTTTTAATTGCCAAATATAATTGCCTATTCTCACCTATATCTTGTGTTAGTTACCACAGTCTCCTTGTAACTCACCCCCCTGATTTGGACTTCCGTAATATAACCATCTCTGATTTTTTTCCTTCCCCTTTTGATTGCTCCCTTTGTCCTCTGACTGGCTACTCTCTGTCCCCCACTGTTCTCAAATTGTCAGAATTCCTCCAAAATTCTTCAAATCTCTCTCCCCTTTGTCTTTGGAGAACTTAGCCATCCCTATGGCTTCAGTTACCCTCTTATGTGGGTCATCCAAACTGCTTGTCTAGATTTTGTTCAGGACCCATTTCCAACCTATTTCTTCTTCAAGTCATCCCACAAACTGATGCCTATGCAATCATGCTAAGACAGAGCTCTGAGAAATGACCTTGCCTTGTCTTCAAAACTTCTGAAAGATGCCCAGCTGCTTCAGCCTTTCATTTAGACCTTGACTGTCTCCAATCGTATACCCTACAGTATTCCCTTACATATTTTCTTTTCTGGGTACACTGGACAGCTTGCCATTCCTGACCCTGGCATACATGCTATTCCTGCCTGCTGGAAAGGCCTGCCACCTTCATCCTTGTCTGTAAAATCCAACCATTCCTCAAGAGTCATTTCAAATGACTGCTCTTTATATGAAGCCCCAGTTGGAAATAATTTCTTCTTTGTCTTCAAAGAAGACAAATGTTTTATAGCATTGAATATACCCTACTTTGTTTACAAAAGTTTATTTAGCCACCTTGCCTTGTTCCTTCACACTCCTTGAATATAGAGCCCATTGCATGCTTTCTTCCTGTGGTCATAGTAAATATTCAGTAGTCTATTTATTTGAAGTCAGTTGTTGCTCTGAGGAGCTTCCTCTCATGAATGTACTTTCTCTCTCTTCCATAGAGTCGTCCCCCACTATATGACCTGACTGCCATGAAAGTGCCTACTGCTATTTGGGTTGGTGGAAGTGATGTCCTTATAACACCCCAGGATGTAACCAGGGTACTCCCCCAAATCAGGAATCTCCATTACTTCAACCTATTGCCAGATTGGAACCACTTTGATTTCATCTGGGGCCTCGATGCTGCTCAACGGGTGTACAGTAAAATCATAGATTTGATGAAGTCATTTCCCTGACCGCAATACATCTACTCTTCAGTTAAAAGTTGTTTCCAAGCCCATAAGAGGCTTTGGGCAAAATACTAATCAGCAATGAGGTCTACTCCAGCATCCTTCACCTTGTTGCTGTCACTGAGGTGTTCCCTTATCACGGCATCCCAGCTAGGAATTATTTGTACTGTGCTGCTCTTTCGGAAATGTCCACATCTGAAATCTTAGAATCTTCCCCTCAGTCAGGGCTAGGTCTATTTTTAAATCTAAGGCCTAGTAAACTCTTCTCTGCTAACTGTACACTTCAGGGAGGAGTTAAAAGAGGCCTTTCTCTTTCTTATTTCAAATATATATAGTGGTTTCATGCAAATGATACTCACTCCCCACCCCCTGGCCTAGATAAACCTTGTCAAGGGAGTCATTTGGCAATATGTTTTGGGTGGCTGTGATCTTGTGGCTTTCTTGAAATCACAATTAGGGCAATAGTCATATGGTCATCTATAGACAAGCTATGAAACAAGCCTGACCCACATCAAGCATGAAAAAATTAGCAGAATGGAAAACTAACCAAATTAAAGTATTCCAGGAGTTTGTTTTACTGTTACAAGCTAGGGGGAAAACTAACTCTTAGTAAGCATATGACTCAACTGGAAGGAGTGGAAGGATGTGGCTGTAATAGATTAGCCTACTAGTTATAAACATTTAAGAGGCGTTGGACAGCGGTTGATATGTTTACAGAGAGAAAAGAAGGTATTGGTTAATATAAGAATCTGGTTAAGTGGGGGTCAGTTAAGAGAGCTCCTATGGGATTTGTCTTATTCAGCTACTGCTACAACAATGCTTTGTAATAAACAACTCAGTGGCTTATAACAGCAAACGTTTATTTTTTTATGCTCACAAGTCCACAGTCTGGCTGGTGTGGTTCTATTTCACACTGAAATCACCTGGGTTTGGCTCAAAGCTGTGGGTTGGGTCCAGGTCTGCTCTACATCTTCTCTTCATTCTGGAACTAGCAGCTCTCAGGGTTATGTTCTTTGCATGATAGATGCCAAGAGCACAAAAGGGCTAGCTAGATCACGCTAGCATATTTGAACCTCTGCTTGTTCACATGCCTTTGGCTAATTCAGATCACATGACCAAGCCTTACCTCAGTGGGGTAGAATAGTCTGCTTCACCTGCAGTGTGAAGCTGCAAACCACATGGCAGAGAGTGTGGATATACAATGCTATTATACAGGCGTGCAGAACTGGGGAAGATACTCCATTCTACCATATATAGGCATAAAATGCAAAAGACAAAAATAGGGAATACAATAAAAAGTAAGTCTTCCTCTTTCTCCCAACTCTTGTCATACACTCTCCACTTCAAAGACACATAACTCTTACCAATATTTCTACAGACTATGCCATGCATATTCTAATGGCTCCACAGATACCCATTTAGTTTTTTCTCCTATATGTACCATACTATTCATACTTTTCCACGTCTTGCTTTGATCGCTTAGTATATCTTGGAGATCATTCCCCATCAGTTCATATGGAACACTATTAAAGGTTACATGGAAATTCATTATTAACAGAGATTAAGATGAATTAGGATTTTTTGTAATTACACACAGTGTTGTAGAAAATATTGTACAAACATCAGTTTATACTTTATACAAATATCATTTATACCTAGAGGATAAATTATCTTTGAACCAATAATTCTGGTTCAAAGAGCATGTAGAATTTTAATTTTGGATGAAAATATTTTTTAACTTCGTTGGTTGACATGAAATCGCAAATCATAGCTGTTAGGGTGGCCATTATCATTAAAACAAAAGACAACTAGTGTTGACAAAGAAGTGGAGAAATTGGAACCCTGTACATTGTTAGTGGGAATACAAAATGGTGCAGTCTCTATAGAAAGCAGTATGGAGGTTCCTCAGAAAGTTAAAAATAGAACTACTTTATAATCCAGCAATCCCACTTCTGGGCATTTATCCAGAAGAAATGAAATCAGGATATCAAAGAGGTATCAGTACTCTCATGTTCAGTGCAGCACTATTCACAATAGCCAATGTAGAGAAACAAACTAAATGTCCATCGACAGATGAAAGGATTAAAAAATGTGATTGATAGATAGATATAAATATAGATATAGATGTAGATATAGATATCTCACAATGGAATTTTATTCAGCTTTCAAAAAGAAGGAAATCCTGTCATATTCAATAACATCGATGAAACATGAGGACTTTATGCTAAGTGAAATAAGGCAGTCACAGAAAGACAGCTACTGCATGATTCCACATACATGAGGTAGCTAAAATAGTTAAACTCATAGATGCTGAGACCAGAATGGTGATTGCCAGGAGCTGGGGGTAGGGGACAATGGGGAGTTATTAATCACAGGTATAAAGCTGCAGTTTGCCTTATGAATAAGTGTAGAGAGCTGCTGTACATTGTGCCTATGGATAAGAATACTGTATTATATACTTAAAAAACATGTTAGGAGGGTAAATTTCATGTGAAATGTTCTCACCACAATAAAAAATTATTAAGCTTTATATTTATAATGTGTGCATTTTTCCTCTTATATATATTTCCATAAAAATTTTTTTTAATTTAAGCTTTTCTACCTTAAATCAATAAGCTGAGAAATATAGAAGAATGCCCCACTCTTACCAATACTACTGCTTTTTTACATATTTTATACTTTAGCTCTGCATATGATAGCAAGTATATTGATGATTATAGGTCAGACTGAGAGTTTACTCTTGGTTAAGAGTTCTACCTAAAATATCTCTTTTAAAACTTATAACCCCATGAGATAGTACTATGGTATGGTCGTCTTTACAGATGAGAAAACTGAGACACAAAGAAAACTGAGGCATAAAAGTCAATTTGCCTAAGATTGTGTAAGTGAAGGAGTCATGGTTTTAATCCAGGAAGTCTGACATCCCATAACCCACACTGCAGCATATACTTGTACAACTGGGCTCAAATGGTATATGGAACACCATAGAGGTCATACTTGCATTACTCTAGACTAAAATTACTTGGAAAATTAAGGCAGGAGATGGGAGAATGTTTTTTATTTTTAAATTTTTTGTTTTGCAAACTCTAACTTTCAAATTGAGATGAGTGGATAGAAGTACCATATGATCTATCAATCCCACTTCTGGGTAAACATCCAAAGAAAATGAAATCACTACCTTGAAAGAATATCTGTACACTCACGTTCATTGCAGCATTATTTGCAATAGCCAAGACCTGAAACAACCTAAGTGTCTTGACACTTAGGTAATGAGAACGTGATATATGTATGTATGCATATATACACACATACATACATATATGTGCATATATGTATATACAATGGAATAATATACAGTCTTTTTGGAAATCCTACCATTTGTGACGACATGGATGGACCTTGAGGACACTATACTAAGTGAAATAAGTCAGACTGAGAAAGACAAATACTGTATGACCTCACTTACGTGTGAAATCTAAAAACATCAAACCCGTAGAAACAGAGAGTAGAATGGTGGTTGCCAGGGGCTGAGGGGTGGCAGGAATGGGGAGATGTTGATCAAAGGGTACAGACTTTCAATTATAAGATGAACAAGTTCTGAGGATCTAATGTACAGCATGGATGGTGACTATCGTTAACAACACTGTGTTGTGCACTTGAAAGTTGATATGAGAGCAGAGCTTTAATGTTCTCACTGTAGCAACAAAATGGTAATTATGTGAGGTGAAGGATGTGTTAGCTAACCTTATTTGTGGTAAACATTTCACAATATATAGGCATATCAAATCATCACAATGTATACCTTAAACTTACACAATGTTAAATGTCAACTGTATCTCAATAAAGCTGGTAAAAAATTGAGATGAGTGTAAGATTTCCAGGCAAGTCAATTATAACACATTTTCATTGTTTTATCCAAAATATCAGTATCCTTATAAGTAGGCATAGAGTCTAGCAATCCACCACGGATGAGGAATTTGGCTACAGACTTTGTAATACAAATTTATGGAAATTTTGGCAACGTTTCTCCTTTTTGTCTTAACCTTGCATTTATGCGACGCGAGAAACTCTTGCTCACAACCCCGTAACAGGCTCATTATATTACTATAGTTTCCCAAGCTTAAACGTCTCATTGATATTTTTTAATGGAACAGGTAAGTGATAACATTAATTTCAATCAATGCAAATTCATGTCAAATGTAAATTCTTTGGTGAATTTCTTTCAGGAAGTGTAATCAGTTTCAGAGAGGTGAAACCAGACTAAAATAATGGCTTTCTGAGACTCATTAATCCAAAAGCTAGGAAGATACTTGACCATCAAGGGCCTTGCTCAGCTCCAACCACTTCCCCATTCTCCTCCCATGGGAAGCTTACCCACATCTTCCAAGGTCTGGCCAAAACACCACCATATCTGAAAAGTTTTTCCTGAACCTCATGCTCCAAAATTAATAGTGCCTCTTAATAAATCTTTTTTGTTATGTTCCAGAATTATCGCATGGAAGAGTTTTGTGTAAATCTATCTTTCTAATAAATTTTAGGAAGAGGACAGGAGTGACGTCTTTCTTATCTTTTAACTTTTTAAAAACTTTTTATTTGAAATGATATAGATTGATGGGAAATTGCAAAAATAGTATAGAGAGGTGCCACGTACTCTTCACTGTTTCCCCCAAAGGTAATATCTTACATAACTATAGCATACTCTCAAAGCCATGAAACTGACCTTGAGACAATCCAGAGTCTATTCAGATTTCACCGGTTTTATATGCACTCGTGTGCACGTGTGTGTGCGAGCATGTGTGTGGGTGTGTACAGTTCAGTGTAATCTTATGTGTAGGCTGTGTAACCACTATTGCAATTAAGACATAGAACTGTCCATTACTACAAAAATTTCCCTCATGCTATCCATTTATAGTCAACAACCACTCCCATCACCCTCCATCCCTCCTTGAACCTAACCCCTGGCAACCACTAATCTGTTCTTCATCTCTATAATGTTGTATAAATGGAATCATGCAATATGTGACCTTTTGATGTTGGCTTTTTCTCTCAAAGCCATGCCCTTGAGATCCATCCAAATTGTTAACCTGTATGTTTGTTCCTTTTTATTGCTGAGCAATATCCTACAGTATGGATCGGCTACGGTTTATTTAACCATTCACCCACTGGAGTACCTCTAAGTTGTTTCCAAGTTTTAGCTTTATGTTTTAACTTTTCATTGCTTTCAGCAAGGGGACTTGAAAACAGAAAGCGCTCAGTTAGGATTCATTAATTTGAATGAACTCCTAGTCTCACCCAAAGCTGAATTCTGTGCTGATACCATCTCTAACGTGTATACGGACCTAGGGGGAAATATCAGTTCTCTAAAAGCTTCCATTGACTTACTACACCATTCTCCACTCATATTTTAATCTGACATTTAGAGATTACAAGATATTGATGTGGTTCTTATTACATTTTAGAGTTCTAACGTGATTTAAGTGCTTTGGGGTGGAGTGAAAACAGATTGCTGGTATTCTTGATAGGTTAAGAAATACTTTCCGTAGCCAGTGTCAAGGTGTGACAGGGTTTTAGTCCCATCAGAACTTCAGTCACTTTTAAAATAAAACAAACAAAAATTTCATCAGCATCATCACATCTCCCACAGAGCCAATCCAAATCCAAATAATAATAATAATGAAAACAATATTGTGCAATCATTAAAAACATTATATAAAGTATAAATAAAAGCACCAATTTTTTTGTGTGTGCCAACTGCTCTCCTAACCAAACCAGTCAACTGAGCTGAGAAAGTTAATTTATTTGGAATACTATGCATCCTCAGTAAGCGTCATCAAAATTAGCACTTTAAAAAAAAAATATCTTCCACACGCTGACACTTCCTCCTCCCCCAAGAAAAGATTCCTGGAAACTCTGCTATAGGTAATGAATACCTGGTCCCAGACTGTCAAAGCATGTCATCAACAGTGTGGGATGGAGAAGCTCTGCACATTGGAAACAGAATCCAGCAAATCAGAATTGGGGTGGAGCAAAGGGGAAATTATTAACTACATACTGTACAAGACTTATCATAAGGCTATGTGGTGATAAACTTTATGTTTATAGTTATAATGAAACAATACTATTCATACTATAAAAATAATATACATGTATGATGGAAAATTAGGAAATGCAAATGTTATTAAAATTGTTTAATACTAGGTAATTTCTTTAAATAGATTTGGGGGGAGGCATGACATTGGTGTAATGCGTATCCGTATATCCAGTTACTTAAGGTTTGAAAGGCAAATACAGAAAATTACAAGTTCTTAAAAAACCATTCTTTTACTGAAAAGACTTAGTTTTTCTAAGTAAGCAAAGATCTGATAACGACAGTATGAAGTACAGGAAATATTTAATAAGACATAGAATCTTTGCTTCTTAGGCAGATTACATAAAAGGCAAAGAAAAAACTTTTATAAGCTTTTAATAACAGAAGATCCATAATCTAAGATATCGTATGATTTTAACAAAGAGGAAATTAAACTCTAGTTTTGTATCAGCACATTATGAGCAAGTCTGGTAAGGTACTCAGGAAACTTTTCTAATACTAAGGATGACATCAAGGGAAAACGTAAAGTGAGAGTTGACCTTACCTGAATATATTGGAACAATGTGAGATTATATGTCCCAAATTTATAATGAAATTATTGAGAATTGTTTTGAATTTTAAATCCAGAGAGAACTTTTAAAGAGACAATTCACAGAAACTGATGTAATTGCTTTCGATCGTAGGTGAGCCTTTGTCCTTGAATGTAGAACATGGAAATGTTACATTTTATTCAAATGCGTTAATAATATTCAATGATGAATTAAAACACCTGGATTTTAGTTATGGCCTTGCCACAATCTAGCTAGGTAATATTGGGCAAGGCTTTTTTTTTTTTTTTTTTTTTTTTTTTTTTTTTTTT